CCTCATGAGGTGAAGGGTCATACCTTTTGGCCAACTGTTGTGTATCTCTCATATAAATAGCCATTAATTGCGAAAACACTGAATCCTTTGACATATCGTTCAAAACCATTGTTTTTGTACTCATTTTGAGCTCTTCACTCATAACATTGACAACAATTCACACCAAACACTGCAATATTATAATGACACAAACCATTGACAACACTGTTTCATATAAATTGCAATCAAATGAGTGCTAAAACGGCTGATTAAACAGCAAACGTATGATTAAAACATGTGTTTATGTGTCAAACAGTTTGCATACATAAAGCGGATTCAAAACTAAGCGCAAACTTATACACACATTGGCGGCCAATGGGAGCGCCCATTGGGGGCGGAGTTGGCACTCAAACCGCACTTATTTGAAACCATTTGTCAAATACTTTTTGGCCATTAATTAGTCGCCAATTGTGTTAACAATCGGTTGTAAGTTATATAAAAAGTATTATATTTAGTGTACAATCAGTTGGTTAGCGACTTTTTTCATACACTGTTAGACACTATTAATTCCCGGGGTATTTATCTTACTACCCGAACAATGATTGGGATATTAATGATAAAGTTTTTTGAACGCTATTTAAGTGCTTATAAGATATGAGAGACTATCTGTGGACACCATAAGACCAGTTTTCATAAGACTTATGATGTATAATAAAAGTGTCTCGTATTTCGTACTGTACTACCGGTGCCCACACTCTGAACATCTAACTGCGAGTATTGTGTCTAAAGTACTGGAACTGAACCACAAATCAAAACTCTAGACTAGATTTAACAGTACTTTTAGTTAACAAAACAAATACTGGTTCCGCTTATGGATCACAGAATAATAGGCTGAGAGAGAGAGACTGAGATTGTATGTTATGTTTGTTATTTGCATTTCTCGAGATTAAATTCACTGATAAGCCATTTGTTGGACACACGTTAGAGTCGGTATATACACGGAGGGGTGTTGTGTGTGTTGTCTCATGTCTGGGGTGTCTATAATGTCTGGTAATCTCATAGTAACGACACTTACCGGGAGGACAACCGCATTCCTGTCCCGCCTCGCGTTTCGTCCGATTTTGCGAAAAACGATTCAAATATTTGTTGACTCGCTATATATATGAGAGAAAAGAAAAACGAAATAAATTGTCAAAAAATGAATAATAAAATACATTTACAAATAACATACAAACATCTATTTTCTCGAAAGTTTTAATATCAATAAACAAATTGAAGTGATATTCTGTAAACAATTTATGATCTCATATACAATGGTATGCTATGAATGAGTTCTTCAATTCTGCTCTCTCTCTCTCTCTCTCTCTCTCTCATGCCTTTTATATACAAAGCAATCATTAATTCATTAAATCTCATACACACTACAAAAATCTATTTTCATAAATAAACTGTTTTAGACGTAAAGTGTATCTCCAGAATAAAACTGAATATATTTTTTGCACTTAATTTGTTTGTTTGAAATGTCATTAGAAAATACTTATTTCAAGTTTATAATCTCTGCTAATACTTATCATCATTGCATACCATTCCCCATGTATGTATTATAAAAGGAAATACACAGTAATTTGTATATAAAAATCGCTTCAATAAAAAGAAAAACATTTTGAAGACTTGTTTTGAATATTATGCAAAAAACTTTGTCTATTGAGTTCACAAACACAAACTCATTGTAATATTAAACTTATATTATTATGTATTGTTTAATAGCAATATAAGGATATGGAAAACATGTTAAGTATTTTGGAAATCAATTCATCGCATAATAAATATAAAAATACCAAAAATGCAAAAAATAAGAAATTAAATAAGATTTTTAAACCGAATGAACAAAATATTATTCAACATTTTTGTTACTCACTTCTAACTTAAGGCTAATTTGTTATAATATCAAGAGCTATGAAACTAATAATTTTTTCGTATCAAATATTTCTCTTTCTCTCTCTCTCTCTCTCTCTCTCTCTCTCTCCATATTATATATATGGTGTATATATTCATCAATTCAATTGAGAGCACCGAATATCTCGTGTTTTTTATCGTAATTAAAATCTATAATCAATTTAGAGCTAATAATTTGGTCGATAATATTATATTAGAGGGACTGTATTACTAAAGCGGAAAACCTATCAAAACTAAATTAGTTATATAACTGGTTTTGACTTTCGCTATGATATGCCATTCCCATCGTACAGTATATAATAGTGTATATGAGAGCACCTATCGATTATGTCAATCAGTTTTTTGACTCAACACCAAAATACTTCTTTTATAACTATATATTAACTAATATTATATGCAAAGTATATATCAGTGTATAAAACATTGCGTAAGATTTGGGATCAAAAATAAATTGGATGCAAAAACTTGGAGTCGTTTGATATTTTTTGTTTTGCTATAAAAAAGTTTTTATTAGACTATTTGCGACATAAATATAGTCACTCTCTCGGGCCATACATGTGAGCCAAACAGTCGACAAAGTATATGATTTGTCAAATGAGGACTCATTTAATGTCACAATTAATCAAATAAATCAAAATCTATTGCTAGAGATTATCATTCATTAGTGTAGTATTGCTTTCCATTGGCTTCCCTTCCCTTTCCCTCATCCTTATTGACGACAAATATTGATAATAAAGACTATAATAATAAGTGTTTCAAATAATAATACACATTATATCTCATATATCAAGCAATGAATACCTCCTCAATGATGGCATTGATGTCGAGTTGGGGAACAGTATCTGCAAAGCCTGTGCCCTCAGTGGCGGTCGACATGTCATAATTGCCTGTAATGTCTTTAATTGCTTTAATGGCCAATAGATCATAGTTTTCAATGAGTTTATGTATTAAAGTCTCGTATTTTTCACAATTGCTTTCAAGAGTCCATATCTTTTGCTCTAAACTCAAAGTCCTTATCAGACATACGACGGACACCACAAATGCTAAGCAACACAATAGGCCTGTCGTTAACTGCCAGCAAATGGTCGGACCAGCTCTGGGTGATGACCACTCATTACCACTACCGGTGCCACCAGTTAGTAGACGCCAAACACCACCACTCGTCTGATGAGTCTTTTTCTCCGAAGTAATCATTTTTTCTTTTCTTTTTATTAACGACTCAAATGCTCCTCAAATGACAGATAAGAAGATGTGTTTTTCGCACAACTCCACAAATCTTATGAGAAGTCAAACTTAATTCATACACCGATTAAGTGTCGACACGAGTGGTAAGTCTCGTGTGAATATCAATACAAAACTTCAAAATATGTGACACTTTTCTCTTCGCTTATTATCGCACTTATAGTCAACTTTTCGTTCAAAAACTTATGGATTTGAATCACATTTCAAATACAAAACACTGAAAACTCATTGAAACACATATTTTTATACAATTAAACAACTTTTTTCGGCTACCATTCAAACAATATATGAGTGAATTCGGGGGTCGACAGAGAATTGAGCCGAAAATCAATGTAAATAAATGTCATGTTTTTTGTCTGTTGTTGTTGTAGTTGTGGATCATATGAAAGGTCTGACACTATCTTCACCACAGCCTCTGTCTCTCGCTCTCAGCGCACAAAATACCAGTTCTTGAATACCAGTGCTCTCTCACACTCTCCCAGGCTATTTGAATTGTAATATAGCTTAAGCACCGGGAACTCCAATCTCCCGGAGCATGCGTTTCGAGGCCGACGAGACCTCTCTTTTGGGGGCAGACACTATCTCTCTCTTCCCTCACCACTCAAGTAGTCTTCGCTAGTTTTCTCTCTCTCTCTCTCTCTCTCTCTCTCTCTCTCTCTCTCTCTGCCCGTTTGCTTTGCCTATCATTTGACTGAATGAACAAAAAGTTTTAATTAAGTTTTGCATCAATTTTTCAATTCAATTAATACTAATTTTGGTGCTTTAATTAGACAACATTTTCTAATTATCTCTCATTAAACACCGGCTCTACATCCAGTCATTGCCATACACTGTATGCCTATGTCTCGTATTCACTGCACTCTAACCGTATGAATACATTATGTGAACAACACTTAAGTTTATTAGTTTTTCGCAAAATTCTTGCACTACTTATACGAGTGAATGCAAAACGACATACAATTCTGTGAATAAAACTCAATGTTTCATAATTATAGCAATTCCTACGAATTCATTGCTAATTGTATTCAATTAATAAATAATAACAATGCGTACACTATATAACTTAGTATATACAGTATAAATAAAATAACATACATAAAAAGTGTACACTATTATAAGACATGTTCACAACTTATTAATAATACATAACTAGCACTTAAAACGTTAGATCCGGGGAATAGGATATCTGTTTAGTGTACTGAACGTGAAATTGTATATAATTTATGGTCTGAACGCACAAAACAGATACAAATGTCTCGAAAACTAGTCAATTGATTGCATCCGACACCTGATGACCACCAGATGTTCAGAGTGTGGGCACCGGTAGTACAGTACGAAATACGAGACACTTTTATTATACATCATAAGTCTTATGAAAACTGGTCTTATGGTGTCCACAGATAGTCTCTCATATCTTATAAGCACTTGAATAGCGTTCAAAAAACTTTATCATTAATATCCCAATCATTGTTCGGGTGTAAGATAAATACCCCGGCAATTAATAGTGTCGCTAACAGTGTATGAAAAAAGTCGCTAAACAACTGATTGTACACTAAATATAATACTTTTTATATAACTTACAACCGACTGTTAACACAATTGGCGACTAATTAATGGCCAAAAAGTATTTGACAAATGGTTTCAAATAAGTGCGGTTTGAGTGCCAACTCCGCCCCCAATGGGTGCTCCCATTGGCCGCCAATGTGTGCATAAGTTTGCGCTTAATTTTGAATCCGCTTTATGTATGCAAACTGTTTGACACATAAACACATGTTTTAATCATACGTTTGCCGTTTAATCAGCCGTTTTAGCACTCATTTGATTGCAATTTATATGAAACAGTGTTGTCAATGGTTTGTGTGATCATAATATTGCAGTGTTTGGTGTGAATTGTTGTCAATGTTATGAGTGAAGAGTGAAAAATGAGTACAAAAACAATGGTTTTGAACGATATGTCAAAGGATTCAGTGTTTTCGCAATTAATGGCTATTTATATGAGAGATACACAACAGTTGGCCAAAAGGTATGACCCTTCACCTCATGAGGTGACCAAACAGTTGTCTGAAACACGTGTGGACACCACTCAAGACACGTCTCTCTCTCTCTCTCTCTCTCTCTCTCTCTTAATTGGTTTGTAATTATGTGTATATTTTGGCAGAAAATGTGAGTTTAAAATAGACGTGGAAACCGACTTCGGACTAACCCGTGAAGAAGTGATGATCCGATTGTCTGATCCGAACGACCCATTCTTCCTGTACATGACGTCCATCGATGAACAGTCTTTCAATAAGTAGTGATAACTGAGTGACACTTGTATTCATTTGATAGCATTTCTTAAATCATTTAAAGGATCAAATCGACAGAGAATTTGTTAATCGATTTCATATCATTCCCGAAGACATTAATCCATTTGTTTGAGACCTGTTTGGATGAACAACACAAAGATAGTCCACGGTTTGTATCACTCGTACGCATACAGTGCGACACAATTGGTGTTAATTTGTAACAAATTGTTTCAAACAGTTTCATACTATCGATAAACCAAATAAACAAAGACTTCATTACATTAGAGATAATCGAGAAAAACGTTTTCAAACATTTGGTTCACTTCTCGCTGAAGATCGCGGCCGCGAACCAGGAGTTCATAAAATCGAGTTTCACTAATGGTTTCCGGAATCTTAAACTCGAGAACCAGAGACTCGAGAGTAGTTTGCATTCACTGGAGCTGAAGATAAATGAAAGCCATTTGTCAAAGAGTAAAGAGTTGGAAGTGATTGACGGCCAACACAGGAACCAATTGAAGGAAATGGAGTTGAAGTACAAGAAGGAGATTGAGGTTCAGAAGCATTTGATTAACGACTTGAGTGCTAAGGACATCGAGAATAAGGAACTGTTGGATGAGATGCGCAAAGAGTTGGCGTTGAGTTCGGAGAGTGTCCGCCGAGAGCAGCGCCAGGAGTCGGAAAGGGATCTCCAGATAATGAGTGAATTGAATGGAAAGGTGGCATCACTTGAGCACCAGTTGTCCGAAACGAGGGCCGCATTGGAGTCGCAAACGAGTGAAACCGAGAATTACCGGCAATTGTCTGATGAAAGGCAGGAGTTGTTGAATGAACTCAATTTAAACAACAATTCCTTAGCACAGGATCTCTCGAAAGCCAACGAAATCATCGGGAAATTGCAGACAGAGATGCAGTCCAACCATCAGAAGCTACTGCTCTTGAATAAAGTCAGTCGTGAAATACCTGTGCTTTGAATTGGAGTTTAAGTTCTGTTTATTGTGTGTATTTGTAGGTGACGTCCAAACAGGAGGAAGCCGTGGATCTGCATCACAACGCCGTCCAGAAGCTGCAGTCGGATTTGCGTCAGTGTTCACAACACTTGAAGGCCAGGGATAAAGAGTGCCAAACGCTTCGCAAAGACATGGATGCCCTCAAAGACAAGTGCATCGAAACGGAGTCCCAATTGACGGCCAACCAGAATATCATATCGTATTTAACGCAACAGTTGAGTGAATTGCAGGCAAAACACGGCATCAAAACCATTGATATAACGAAAGGGATTCCTCCGCACCAAACGAGTGCCAAAACTATAGCTCAAAGGAATGCTATCTTTTCTACTAAACCCCCCAAAAATGATAATCTTTTCAGACGATAATAATTAGTTAATTATTTGACTTTAAAAGTGTTGACACAAGAGGTGTGCTATAATATGAATATTTATTGCATGTATTGAGTTAATCATTAACTGTTAATGAATCAATAACTGCTAGGATATGGACTTGTAAAGGGTTTATATGTCTGACATTAAACTGTATAAAGTTTACAATTTACTAAAATGTATACTTAAGTGTATTTATTCTAATAAAAGAAATGATTTTAAAAATAAATTACATTTGATTCAAATAATTATAAACCAAATGAACATAGAATATGTAGAGTAATAAGTGGTATACCGTAACAAATAATTGTAATGTTTAGAAAAGCATAACTTTTCAGAATACCCCACAACTTGAATAAAGTTTAATATTAATATTTGGCCTCATACAAAACTTATACACTATTTTCAAAACACTTTAATTAACACTTTGATTGATAGCGCGTTAATTTAGTATTTAAATTAGAAATTATTTATAACTGAAATTCAATTTAATTTTAAATACACCATTAAAATGAAGACTATTGTGACAATTATTGTGTTTCTTATTTCTGCTATAATTGGCATCAGATCTGAAGATGTCATTTGTGATGATAATTATGGGAGCGTTGAGTTCAGGGAAGCATTTATGATGAAGAATCAGTTGATTGTCTTCACGGACATCAATCTTTATCGCATAAATAACTTCCGTTTGAATGGCAATCAATTCAAATACGATTCCACAGAGTCTTTGACTAAAGACAACGAATGGACGAAAATAGACTGGAATTCAATGATATTTGTCTTTCCCTACAATTTGGCCAACGATTACAACGCAAATCAATTGATAGTCGTTTCAATGAAAGTAACCACTGATGACATGATATCTCTTACAAGAATTACCACTAATTCATTGTTTAATACATTAACAGATCACTGGAGAGGTTCGAGAACTCCAAGAATTTATTGTTACCTTCGATGACAATCTAAAGACAATAACGAGTGTCCGAAACGCGTCACTCAATATCTACAGACAAGCGCCGGACGAAGAGCCCCTGAATTTGGTGACACTGTTGGCACAGTTCCCAGAATATGACTTCGAGAAACACATGCTATCCATCACACGATTTCCGCAAAGACCCGGATTAGTCAACAGATTATTCGCTTATTATAAGGGTTTTACTGAATCATTGAATAATTTTTTGTAGAGTAATGCAATGATTTTGTGATCAAATGTATAGAAACTCCGCCAAAAGTTCGGGAAATGGAGTGCGAAGGATGTTATCGGTCGAAGAGGTATAAGGGTTTTACTGAATCATTGAATAATTTTTTGTAGAGTAATGCAATGATTTTGTGATCAAATGTATAGAAACTCCGCCAAAAGTTCGGGAAATGGAGTGCGAAGGATGTTATCGGTCGAAGAGGTATGTCTTTTATGAGGGAAAGTCATCAGTGGGTGACAAACAGGTGTGGAGCCAACCCAACAACAATTCCGGTGCCGTTTGTTGGGATCTCAAGGGACTGGTAGTGAACGCATCCACAGCTCTGACGCCAGACTACACGCAGTCGACTGGCAATCAGTTATCGTTTGCTTGGATTGAGTTCTTGGGCGACAGGTATGTCGTCAACAGAGTGTCGCTCAACAATCAGTCCGTCGACACCGATGTCCAACAGAACCAAAAGGGTCTGATTCGCGACATATTTGGCTGTCATCTCCGACCCAAACCTAATCCAAATGATCCAAAGAAGGATCCAATGGGTAAAGGAGGCAATGGAGTCGGTTTGGGAACCACTTTATTGATCATATTTATGGTTTTATTGGTGCTCATCGGTGTCGGACTTGCCGTTTATTTCGGTGTCAATCACTTCACTACTTCTAAGACTAAGAGTAAGCATAGTCTGCAGAATGAAACGGTTGCTAACGCACCACCACCTCAACCATCGACTACTGAGGCACCACCATCTCAACTACCGGCAGAATAATTGTCTCAACAAATATATATATTTTAATTTCAAATTTTATTTTGTAATTATTATTGATTTCTATTTATTCGTTAGTCTTTATAATTAAATTCATATTAAAAACTATTTTGAAAATAAATTAGACTTTTCCCACATCCAAAAGTTATGCTACATTTTAATAAAATTCTTATTTAAATCACTAAATTCTTATACAATTAACACATAAACCCAATTCAATAATTAATACAAAATTCTAGAATCTAATCAATTGTTTTAAAATTATTACAGAATTTAGTAGAAAATTAAATCATTTGAAGAATTGCGTTACAAATTGATTTAAAAATTCAGTTTGCATTTTGTAAATCATTTTGTAATTTCACTTCTAAATCAGATCTACTATTGTAAACTACTAATCCTAAATTACTAAATCATAAGCCAACGTTTTTTGTACTGTATATAAAAGTCTAGATTTATTTATAAATAATAATTCACGAATTTAAACAATAATCTCAAATGAGATTCAAACCGCAAAAC